CCGGCAGCGCTGCCGCGGTACATTTATGTCAATTGACATTGTTACTCAGTCTGTCATTCTTAATAATAAGACGCATAGCGCAATAAAAAACATATAAAAATTAAAGCCAATAATGTCAATGAATGTTTAACATTTTTTGTTGAAAGTATCTCCAGAAGGGCTAACGGATCCCGCTGAAATTTGGCATAGATGTAGAACATAGTCTGGAAGAACATGTAGGCAATTAAGTTTGCATTTCCGCGCAGACGGTGTCACGGGCTTCAGCTAGTTATCTAATAATAGATAGATTTTTATTGCAGTTAGTGTATATTATGATAGTCATATTGGTTTTAAAAATTACAAAATCCTCGTCTAGTTTTAAACAGAGTAAAATATTGTAGTTTCCGTTCCTATCTATTGTTTTCTAATTACTCTTAACATTGATAAATAAAAATTAACGCCATTAAATAAAACCATAGATCCGTTTAAAATAACTACAAACAGTTAAATGATTTCACAGTCCAGTCAAACCACAGAAGTTTAACTGAACCATAAATATAGTTAAGTATCCATAAAGTTGATGGTTAGCGATCAATTCAACCGTTCTCTCAACTAACACTCATTCAAATATCGTCATCCCTTTCGTTATCTTTGTAAAAAGTGAAATAGCAATATGTTTTGATTATTTCATAGAAACTCACAGATTGTATGGCTTTCTTTATAAATTTAAATAGAATAATTTAGACATTATTTCGCCTAACGTAGTTTATTATACGTTTAATTATATCTAAATTAATAGTGCGATCTCATAATGGCAGGTTGTTTGAGCATAACAGTATGCCTAATTAATGAAATAATAATCGTACATTTAGACTGCGAATCTTTTTTAAATATAAATTATATGTTTGTAAATTAAGTTACGCATCATATTGTTTAATGAGTATTCCATTATTATTAAACTGTCGGCACTTGTTGTAAACTCTACGTTATGACTGAGATATCTCTTTTGAATTTTTTTACGAGCAACGTAGTCTAATTTTTTCATTTATGAATTACCTTAACCAAATTGTTGTGCGTTCGTTCAAAATTTCTCCATAGATTATCAGTTAAACAATAAATACCATACTTTAAAAGTTAACTAATTTTACTTACTACCAAAATTGTTCGAGCTGCTATTCATGATGATGACATAAACCATATTAATTTTATTGGTCTTTGTAGTCTGCAAGAGCAATGACCCTCTATCACATGTAGTCTATTTTACTAAAACAATTACAGTAATCATTACAACATTGATATCAAATGTAGTATTGTAATGCAGCTATCGCAACAAAATTAACCTAGACTTCTTATCTACTAACAAGGTGTTAAACATAATGAAGTATAATCCTCAAAAAGGTCTAATAAACACGACCAAATAATTCGTAATGGCACATAAAAACACCTTAAAAATATAAAACATCGAGGGAAAAAAATATGAAAGCGCCGCACCCCAAAGCCCACGCGGCCGCAGAGCCACCGCTAAATATTTCTAAGAGGAACGTCGTCGCTTTAAGAATAGCTTAAGCGGCTAATAGTTTTATGACACGCATGTCACTGCTACGAGCTTCATCAGGAGTATCATTCGATAATGTGCTCTATAACTTTAGTGTTACCGTGTAAAGTTATTTGTGGCGGCGGAAATGACAGTCGCAGGGCAGAACGGTATTAGACAGGGGTGCTATCCAGTTGTGATGTAGTGAAATCGTTGCTAGGTGAGGGCTGCGGGGCGAGTGCCGAGGGGAGCAGGAGGTGCTGGGCGTGTCCGGGATAACGAAATAAAACGCTCCGGGCTCATATGCGACCGTGCGAACTCGGCTTAACGCAATAAACATTTTAATTTGGGCACGAAACTCACGCTGAGATGCAAAATTACGGTGTGAGAGGGCGTCTCGCGCCAGAAATCAAATTACGAGGAAATTTCGTGCAGTGATGTTTTTCATGTCGAGAGAAATAGGTTGGGCTACAATGTAGGTAGCTACGTATGTATAAAATTACACCAAAATTAATCTAATGTGGTAACTATCAATACGAGTACAACAAATTGGATGCAATAAAGCAAAGAAAAGCAAAAATAAAATAATTCATGACCAAACAAGGCTTTACGGATGTTGAATATATCCCAATATGACCGCAAATAGTTTAATGTAATGTTTACCAACAACATTTTTTTTTATATATTAACAACATTAGTAAAATAATCATATTTTATTGAGAATATTCAGATTACGCTAAGTCTGGTATGAGTCAATTATATTTCGTAGGAAGTCTCAAATCTAGATATAATCCTTGATTCATTTGTCTCACTAATTGTAGTTAACTCTGCATCAGTATAGCAATATCAAGGTAAATCTGTTACCTGAGGAAGTACAATCAGATTAGTTTGACCGGCGACGGCTCACGGCGGCCGGAAATAGGCGGAAGTGAGCGGCGCCGGCACATATCATACGCCTCGCGTCAAATGGCACCAAAGCGGTTTACCAAAACTCACTCAAGTCACTCATTAAATTCACTAAAGTCACTTGTTACTAACGTCACTAATTTGATACGTTAATTTAAGTTATAAAACTAATTTTATAATTTTTAAAAAACTTATAATAATAAACTTCATTGGGGGTTTTCGAGTTACAAAAATTTGCTTTAAAACGACCTGAGTACTTAAGCATCACCACTATCGCTTCAAATTGCTAATACTAGTTTAATTATAACCCAAGTAACCGTGAGTTTCTGAGACCCAACCTCGTTTAAAACAGGTTATCTTTGGTTTGTTTAAAATTACAAGGATGACGAAACTTTGGTCTTAGAAACCGACCAAAAGTTTGTGGTCGGTTAATAACTTTTACTTAATTCTATGAAAAAATTGACGTACGTTGTAACGTAAGTGCCAAAAGTTAATAGTCACTTCACAGGTCCTTACCGCCCCTGTTGGCCAGGCAACCACTTAAGGAGTGTCCGTAATGATTTCCTATCTCTGCCTACCTACACTTGACCGTTTTCCAAATAGCCGTTATGAATTTACGTTCTGTTTGGTGAAATGTAATATTGAATATGAAAAACGCGATTCACGACAGTAAGGCTTTATTTAATATTTTTTGGAGATATTCTATTAAATACATACGTTTGTTTAAAGAGCAACCAAGAGCTCTATGACTTGTACCAGGAGCTGCATGTGGTGGGACACATTAAATTGAACAGGCTTAGATGGGCCGGCAACGTGGAGCAGATGGATGAAGTCAGAGTCCCTAAGAGTGTTATGGCGAGTAATCCCGAAGGTCGTCGAAGTCGAGGGAGACCAAAGCTCCGATGGATAGACTGCGTTAATAAGGACGCAAAAAAGTGGGCATAGCAAATTGAAAGTCCGTGGCCAGAGATAGACCGAGGTGGAAAAAGTTGCTGGACGAAGCCAAGGCCAAGGGGCTGTAGAGCTCGACGAAGTTTGTTTAAAGAAATAAATAGGCAAATTTTCGTACAATTCAACAAGATAATAAGATTATTAAGGAATTTGTCAAGAATTTGTTAAACCAAATATAGTCGGTCTGGCTGTCAATGTCTTTTTCTTAGACCAATGTTTCTTCTTTGACCGAAATTGGTATCTTAAGTAACACAATGAATTATTGTAACCTGATCAAAGGTTACTAAAGAAATTATTTACGGAATTTTCGAGACTTCATTGGAGAAGACACGCGGGACCGCATTTAGAATTTGCTCTGAAAAGACAACAGTTACGCCTTGATAATATATTTCTAATATGTATCGTCCCTCTGACTATATCGTGTTCATATCTATAATCTGTATTTCAATGTTGCGACCGCACACAGACTATTGCTGGCCCGCGGCGTCACTTGTCGACAGCGTTCAATGCGCATTGTGCAAGCCATTCTACATGTAAATCATTATGCATTGTAAACGTTTCAATTCTAAAGTCACGATAGATCACGATAGTGTTTAGATTTAGATGGCAAAATTGTAAAAATGTGAGATATAAATTCTCGTATATTTTTAACTTCAGTATATATAAAAAAACAACTAGTAGGGGAATTAAAATCGGTTGGTCTTTCTGTGCTCCCAACATTTTTCCCAACTTTATTTAAGCCACGAAATTTAAAAAATCTATACAAATGTTATTGTGTAGATTACAAAATCTCCGTTCATATGTTACAAGTACTAAGGCTACATAAATCTAGTACGTAGGCCGTCGATTACTCTTGAAACAGACCGTGGGTGTGGGGCGAGCTCGCGCAATCGCCCAAACCGTATCGAATGCATTGCCCTCGCCTCTCGCGCGCACAATGCCCATTTCACAGCGCCGATACGACGACAAATCAAAATAAATTACCGATTTCGTCATTCGAAATTCGTTCCGATATAATTTCCTCACTTCGTGCTTGAAGATCGCATCGCACGGTGCTGCGAATTGCATCGATAATACAGCTACACGAATAACTATTAAGAAATCAATGTGACTGAATCAAAGAAATTGAATCATTTACGAACAAATTCGCATATCAATTACCGTTCCTTTGCTAGAATGGAACATTGTGTTTTACAAATGAAAAAGCTTTGGTTTATTGGTTATGTATTAATATTTAAAAGAAGATTGTTCATATAACGTGGGATTAAGCCATCTTTTTTTTAATATAAATACATAACCAACAAACCAAACCTTTTTCGTTTGTAAAATTTGATATAACGTTGGATTAAAATTTCAAATAAAGTAATAATTGTTATAAGATTTTTCACAATACAAAAAAAAGTTAAAGTTATAGACAAAAGTAATTATATTCCAAAGGACTTTGACATAAAGTTTTAAGTTGTAAGTTATTTTTGTTCAACAACTTATAAAAAGTTTAATATCCATCACATGTACTTAAATGTTTGAAATAAACAAAAACAAGGAAGCAAAAGTTCATACGACATGTTGTTGCTAAGACTAAGAAAATTAGTAAGTATTAAAATAAATCAATGTGATATTTAGTACTTACTAAAATCTTCATGTCCTTGTGGTCCGCAGATTCGATACTAACCTAAAACAAAAGACATTGTATTCTAATTATTCGGCATCAGACAGGTTTAGACGTAAATAAGCGGTTACTGTTCTAAAATTGATTAAAAAATGTATATTATGCAGACCGATACTTTTATTAAATCCACATAACCATTTCTGCATTGAGATTTCAATTGTTTATATGAAAATAAATATTTATAATTTGTTTTTTTTACGGTCATTAAATAACAGTTGTATAAACAATACGCTCAGGAAACTAATTCGCGTATAATGCAATCGAAAGTTCGTTAAGCGAGCAAGCCCACGCCCATCGCCTATCCGTCGTATACAATATAAAAACTAAAACTAATTAGAAAGTCCCTAAAAAGTTAATATCATAAGTCGGCGCGTACACACGAGCGAATTTAATTTGGAGCGTTTTTAATTATGGCGGGAGATTCGTTCGTGGGGCCGGTTTCGGCGCCGCGGCTCCGGCCCTCTAATTATGGAGCCCGTAATAGCGAGGCCTGGAGTGGCCCCGCGTCCCTACCCGCTACCCACTACCCACTCCCACGTAGCTCTAGCCATCTACGCTGCGCTGACTAAATTAAGTTACATCCATTTTCAATGTTTTTGCTACTCAAAACAAACTTAATTTTATTCATTAGAGGAGTAGATAGAATTTAACTACTTATTTTCAGTTACCACCTTCTATCTTATGCACGGTTCACTTAAACTTACGTAGAACCTAAATTTATTTTCAATATACATTGCTGATCTCGAGAAATGCTTTACTTCTGGATAATCATTACTTTTATATAATTAAAATGACATTACATAAAAGTCACTACAAATATTGTTGCTTAAATATTATGCAAGAAATAAGACATATCCATAACACGTGTTAATAGATTTTGTACATTATGAAACACTTAATATCAGTTCTAATAGAGAGTAATTACCCTTCAGTGTAGCGCATTCGACTGTTCGCTGTCCAACATAGTTTAAAAGGATTGTATTTAATTACGATGACTCGCATCTTGTCAGCCAAAAAAAATGTTTTAAGACCGCATTATAATAATTATAGATTCAGTCAATAACTACCACTACTTACCGTTTACGATTTCTATCAGTAAAACAAACTAAAGCAACTGTAAGATTAAGGCGCCACGGAAAGGCAAAGCCTCTCGTTTATTTTGCTTAGATAGCTTTCATATTGAATTTTTTTAATAGTAATACTACATTAATAAAAGGCAGATGATTTCATACACAAATTTTGAATATACACATATGTTGTAACTAATGGAAAAGTCTTGTACTGTAAGGGCCAGCAAAACGACGGACCTTAGCCTGTCATTAGAAGGGGACGTAAATGGTAGAAACTAATATAGTAAGTACCATTGCATAGCGAGTATCGCGTTACGCTTACTCTGTACATCCAACGTTTGTCGTCTTTTCACTCAGGCCAGGCATAGCGACTACATGCCAATTGATTTGATCCGTAATCTTGAAAATCGCAGGGACTATTCTCATGACGATCTTGACAAACAGATTGTAGTACTACATAAGTAGTTCACGCAAACGAAGTCTACATAATAAATTGTCTAACCAAAATCACAATCTCTAATTCTAACTTCAAAAAAAGTTTCCCTTCGTAAAAAAGAGAAAAAATTTCAATAACATAATAAACATACAAAATAATTAAAAAGCCAATGCAGTTTCGATTACACAAATAATTCAATCATTTCTAATATTGAGTGTGCAACTGAATAACGACAAAGCAAGAATAAAAAAAGGAAAGTGAACTGACGGCGACGTGAGTCGACCCCGGGAGGTGTTTGTGCGCTGTAATCATACCTAATCACACCAATTAAATATTTTTATTCCCATTCCACCTTTGTGTAAGCCCGAGGTGTGCTTTGTTTGATTATTTTCGTCGAGTGCCTTTTGTTAATGTCGTGGAGATGTTAAATATTTGAGATCCCTAATTTGTGAAAATTATAATAGAATTTTACAATCAAATTAGCAAGTTTATAAGGAGTACTGTTTCATTATGTCTTCCCAATCCGATAATAATAACGAAGTAACGGCCCGAACCGAGGTTCCTGAGGGAGCCCTCGAGCTTAGTTACTCTTAAACGAGGTTTAGGCTAAGTGCCATCTGCGCTCGGCCACCTCAAGCCCGGTGAAGCTGTAAATGCCTCCTCAAGGCAAACAGTGGCAATCAGTCACAAAAAAAATAATTATGTCTTATGGGGTCTTTTGTTCGACTTAGTATCTGAAAATCTGATGTTTCAGGTCGTAATTTTTTTCTTATATTTGTCCGTAAACGCATAATAAGATCATGAAGTAATATGAAACTCTTAATAGCCGAAAAGCAGACAGTTTGTATTTATTAAAAATGAGCAAAGTAGACTACAATTAAACAATTTAAATGTTGATCTTTTAATATTTCTTTTATTTCAAATACTTTAATTAAAATAATAATAATAATAATAACTGGTTGTTTGAGTCATGGGATTCCGCAGCCGGTGGTGTTCTCTTTTTAATATAATATGTTTTGTATATATATATATATATATTTATATGAAATGTATTATATTAGAAATGTGATAAATAAATATATATGATAATAATAATAAAAAAGAAGTAAAGTAAAGTAAATATCTAAAAAAAAATATATATAAAAAACATATTATATTAAAAACCGAACACCACCATTATTATTATTATTATTAAAATGTTTTCTAAATGAGCATAAGACAATTTCATAATTAATGATTATGTTCTGTGTGTTTATAATTAGCATAAGAATATTTTCATTATACATAATTTAATAAAAGCATAGTTATTGATGACAGTGGTTTTCATCGTACGTAGCTAGCACCTACTTAAATTTCCTATTAGAAAATAAGAAGAGAGTTTAACTTGAATTTTCAATGACTTAAATATAATATTGCTGAAACAGGTCAAAGTGCTTCTCTCAGTCATTTTCATTTATTTAAAATTATAATGGTTTTGACTAATTCTTGCTTAGACTCTCCACTTGAGATTCAATTTAATAAATTAATAAAAAAAATGGTAAAAATTATTATTTTTAAATTTTAATTTCATATGAGCACTTTTAACCGTTATTTGGTAAATAGTAGAAACTTATTTAGTAGTATTACCTCATTGAAGTAATTATTGTTGGCATTGTGCGGTGCGGGGTGCGAGCCCCCTGGCTGCTGGTAGTACGCGCAGTTCATGGCCCATGAATTCCAACACGACAGAGCCTCACTCTATCTTCACTCGATCACACGCGACAATATTTATATATCATTTATTAAAATACCACGGAGCAATTATCTCGTAACGAATCGATGCGGCGAACGAATCTCGCCTACTAATTGCCGGGTTCGGGGTCTCGCGGGCCGCGGACGCTATCCCGCTCACACACGCACAGTCTCTCTCGTTCTGGTGTGGTGGTGAGTGCCTGGTGCGCGGACTGATGCGTGGTTTGTTTACTTTGGGCGGCGCGAACTAAGGGCGGCCGCTTAGGGCGGAACCTTTATCGCGCACGCAAAAACTAATGTACACCGAAAACGGATTTAATTCACTTGTAATTAAAAAAAAAATCAACAATTTAAATCAAGATATATGCAACGAATTCCGATAGTGTTACAAGGTGATAACGGCTGATCTAAAATAGATTTAACACGTAGCTTTTCAATAGCATCTAAACAACATAAAGTCACACAAAGTCTCGTTTTACGCGACCTCGGCTAATCCAAAAATCTTTAAGCAAATCAAAAAAGGTTTTACGTTAAATTAAAACGTATATAACCTTTTAGAAGTACAGTCACGCACATTTTCATCCCGCAATGGTAATAAATGTTTCCGGTTTGTAATAAAATACATTGTGATCGTTACCCCGTCGACTATTATAAAAATTGGTCCATTTTTTACGTGCACAATCTGTGCGGGGGCGGATACGGCTCATATAACAGGATGCACTTTCCTTTTACACTATTGATATCACGCGAAATATGATCACGTGATACATTAACAGATGTTCACACAACTTATCATAGTATTATAACTAATTTTTTTAATTTTTTTTTAATTCAGGAAGATAATATAGATGGCTATACGCATACGGTATATACATTATTCATTTCGTATAAATCTGAATAAAAATTATCGGTGGTCGGTATTAGGTGTTGTCGACTATTCACCAACAAATAAAATTTTAATAGATAAAATATTTGAACTTATATAAATTAAATTACACATATATATGTATTTATATATATATCAGTTATGTCGGTTCCAGCTCTACATTTGTAGACCCGAATTAACATGTTCAATTTTTTATGTAAATACGATTGTTTGATTCTCACCATGTCTCCTACTACTTCATACATATTAAATCATTAGTCGTAGCTACATAAGTAATGTTTTGTATGGAATATAGTATAACATGTGCAAATGTCAGTGATTAGCGCGAGCGTGGGCGCGGCGCGTGCGCACGTAATCATTGTAATCCACCGCCGCCGCGACGCTCCCGCGGCGCTCCCTTCAAAATTCATTCTTGTTCTGTTATACTTACTATTTCAATAGCTTTTTGTGCGAGTTATAAGGGACACTACATTCATAAGTGAAAAGGAACTTCAACGTTGTAAAAATACTTACATACGTAGAGTCGTATCATTGAAGCTGCTATTTAGTATTTATTTTTAATTCCACATCAATGTTAAGGGTCTAACTTATTAACTGTGGGTATCTGAGACCAATATCTCTATTTAAACCATATTGTTATTCCTGTTTTCTCAAAGATGACGATATGTTTATTACAAAGATTTTGGTCTCAGAAACCCACGGTATATGTTTTACATTTTTAGATGCTTGCTTTCACAATGATTTCAGATTGGACGCACAAAGAGATAGGTTTATAAATAACAAATTTAAGTACAGCTTTAAGTCGCAGCTTTCTATAAAGGACGTGTTGTACATAATGATGTTGACATTATTAGATACAAGTTTTGCGAAATCGTTTCTAGCTCATTAAATATTTACATATTTATTAAAAAGCGCATCCTGCCATCTGCTCGCATCTACATATAATGAGACATTATCCTAGTTAAACATTGCCTTATTATCATAAATAGAGCATGCGGTAGTTATTCTCGTATTAATAATACAGGATCTTGCAATTAAAGGAAATTGATCGTGGATAAACACATGTACGTTTTAAGGAGCAAAATAACTTTTGCATTATACGCAATTTAAAAATGTCAAATAACCTAGATACAAATAAATTTGAAATTAGCCGAGAATATAAAATAAAAAACAAAAACAAAATTCTAACGACTTTGCCTTGATATTAGTCTCTTTTTGCGAACTATATTAGTGACGAAACTATGTTGTGTTGATAAGCAAAGATCTTAATATAATATTGTGTATGAAAAATACAAAAACCGATATCTATTAACTGCAATCACAGTTTTTTTATTCTTTAACTATTTTCTATAATTATATAGAAACGTTGAATAATAAGGCGTGTGAGCGGCGCGTGCGCATCTGTCGCCGCCCGCCCTCAACCCGCCCAGCGCCGCCCAGCACAGCAGCACCACGCAGCGGTCGCGTATCGAATTGCAAACACAAAGAACATAACTACCAACATAATAATACGTTTCTTTGTATGACTTTTTTCTCAATAGTATTGTGTTGCAAGACAAAGTTACAAACATGTTTACAATAAGTTTCAGCTGCGAACCTAATTTATAAAAAGATTTTCAAATATATAATACTTACAGAATTGATTTTTTTAATTAAAAATTTGAAAATCGAATTAAGAATACAGTAAAACATGCTAATACGTTCTAATATTATATTTCACTATTAATTGCGTACTATATATTTTGGGGGTACTTTGTAAGCAATAGAAGGGGTTGTGTTGCAATCCGGTTGCAATCTTACACCTACTTCCGTTGCAGTCGCCTTGGATGACAGTTATTTCTGCATAAGATTAAACTGACTATTTGTATAAGTCTTGCAAAACTGTTGATTAATGTGTATTATAAATTAATTTTACAAATTTTACAAATTATTCCAAATTATTAAGTCATAGTTTTAGATCACAATTCCAAGCGTATAAAATTTAAAAATGATAAAATTTATTTTAAAAAAAATATCCAAAAGTGCAACAGTTAGATGATTTCTTTTCTCTGAATTTGTCAACAAAATGTCAATATTTGATGTCACAATAACTACACTAGACCCATTCAATAATAACTCAAAGATTTTAATCACAAAAAATCTAATGCGTACATCAAAAATATTTACAATTGCACATTTGCAAGTACAAGTAAATTTTGCTCATATTCAGTTTATCGGACCAGAGATAATCTGTCGCGTTCACATTGTCCAACATTCGCTACACGTGTGATTCCTATCCGATACTTTATTGTTGACGCACTCAGATAAATCCCATTCACATATTTCAATAGCCATTCAACGTGGAGGGACATTCGACGACCGCTTCCTATGCAAAATTCACTTAATCCCGGAATAAAGGTGTGCATTTTGAAAGCTTCCGTCCGACTAGGAACCGAGCAAGTGACTACACACAATGCCCCATCGAGATGTTCACTTGACGTACAGACAGATCTCTACAATGTTTACGTTTATAATAGGATTAAGAACGAAAAGGTGATTGTGTTTTGAAATGTTGAAATGCTTGTGAATGCACTTATCTTTCGGTGTACTTGGGATTTGAATTGAACCACTTTCTCGCGTTTTTTTTAGTGAGTGCAAAATATTTTGTGGTTAATTTTATGATTTCTATCAACAATAACAGTTTTATTCGATGTTCGTGCATAACATTCATGACCGTGGGACGAAATTATCGTTCAAAAAAGTTTATCATATCCTTGGGTCTCTACTTGAAAGAGATATAAAAATTAATCTTTTTCAACATAGCTGTTGACAAATTATTAAATCCGCTTTTCCGTTAAAATTCTGAATTAAATCGTTTCATGCTCTTTATATTATATTAGTGAAAATCAAACTTTTTTAATTCTCCTATTTTAAATACTATGTTATAGGCATTTCAATACTAGACATTGCTTGTATACATTCTTTTATATTTAATTTATTGACATATAAACTAGAGATTTATGACTTCATAAACGAAAACATTGATACTGAGAGTCAAAATGCGAACAACTGATATTACACGGGAAACAGCGAGCCGTGCATGCAGCGGCGCGGGCAAACTGCAAACAACAAAATAAAGCAGCGGCGGACGTAATAATGGTATTTCCACCTTGTAACAATAACTACGTAATAGTCAAGAGCCCTTTACGAGCTTTTGTCGAGCTTTTGTGGACTCGTAGAAGCACCCACTCGAAGTTTTTGTTATGGACGCAAGTCGGAACATACTTTACGATGCGTACTGTTTTATTGAATACTACTTACTTTGAGCTTAAGTATTACTGAGATTTGGGACGCCTTCGATTTATTTAACTGTACTATGGTACAGTTTGAATTAAATGCAGTGTTTTATTTTCATTCATACAATTTACTAGCCTCCTTATTTTGCATACATAATTGTAATGACATTGTTTAGTATCTCATATTGATTAAAAGCTTTATAGATCAATGAACAACTTACTAACATGGTAAAGAGACGTTAATGATAAACCTATGCTTACACAAATGTATACGGTAAAAGTACAGCTCTCACCGTGGGTTTCTGAGATCAATATCTCTATACAAAACATATCGTCTTCCCTGTCATTATCTTTAACAAAACAGAGATAAAAATATGCTTTAAACGGAGATTTTGCAGACAGACACCCACAGTTAACCTTGTTATTAATTTATTTAATCATAATTCATTACTACTAAATATACTAGAAACCTAAAATATTGTTATACAAAAAAGTCTCTGTGTATAATAATAATTAAAAAATATGCATTTATTTCGCGTAGTCTTTGAGCGCGTCGTCGGAGATGGCCCGCTGTTGAGATAAAATTAATAGCGGCCATTAAACTGCGAAACACTCCGCGGAAGACTTCATTAATTTTCCGCTTCGGTCTACGCCTCTTAATACTTCGAGATAGCTCACCAATAGATTTATTAATTATTACGAAGATTTTAATAAAATCTCAGAACAAATCATTTATTAAAATCTTTATTTAGTGTTTATCTTAAATCGATTGTGATCAGAGAAAATGATAATATCTATAGTAAATTTATTGGTAAGATGACTTTGTAGTTATCGAGAAATCATTCGCGTTAGTTTAAGACAAGAAATGTGGTAGTTCGCTTAGTGTTCAATCCCCCTAAATCAACCCTATCTCATCTATTTACAATAACATACTG